GATGAAGATTATAGTAATTGTTCTAGAATTTCGCCACTTCACGATACCTGGCTTTGATTTCCAAAAGGCTTTATTTGTCTGTTTGGGCTGAACTGCGGTCCAGATATCGTCTGAAATGGTTTCATCAGCACTCCGGCTTCAAATCCAGCCACAGTTAGTGATGAAGCCAAGTCGAGGTTGAAACTGCCGTCCAGCCTGAATGAGATTGCCTTTTAGAAGGCAAGTCTAAGAGAAAGGTAATGGTATCCTGAGGATGGTTGTGTAAAAACTTCAGATATTAGTCTTTAATACATCGTGGGCATCTGCCATTTCAGAATCACTATTTTAACGGTAAGCATGCTCTTTAAAATTGTTGCCCGTCTACTCCAGACTGCACTACTGTTAGGACTAGAAACAAGAACAATTTAGAGACACTTTCTATTCTCTCTTCTATTAGTAGGTCAGTAACAGTTTTGTTTAGTGCCTAGACAAATCTCTATTATTTTCGAGACATATCATTCCCCACGTTTCCCTGTATCACATTCTTCGTTGGTCTATTCACAACAAATTAAATCGACTTTCTGATGCCTAGCATCGGATTTCACATGTCCATGTTGCATAAAATTCTTTTCTTGTCTAGGATTGATCGAAGCTTCTATCTCACCGCATCATCTCACCAGGGCCTCAAAACGAGGGTGTTTGTGTCAAGAGGCATATATCATTACCCGAAATTCATATGGGCCACACGAAGGGTATACCTTCGAAGGCCAAGAAAATCTCTATCAATTAATGTCATTTTGGGAGGATTTTTCTTCATTGGTTAGGCTAAACTGGATAATAACCTATTTTTTGGATGTTACCAGGGCCCTAATTATTGTGATTTTTGTGTGCTTGTGTGTGTATGTGTGTGTGTCTGTCAGTGGAGGTGTTTTAGCTTTTTGGGGATATAGAGATGAATCGCTATCTGCTATGCACACGGCAAAGGGAAAGGGTTTGATGTTGCCCCCAAATTTCTTTTCACCATGCATCCCAAAAGCCATTATCATACAAAAATTCAATAACCAAGACGGATCGTCAAAAAGTATCATTGTAAGATTTGTTAACAGTCCAATACGGAAATTAGTCAATATATAACAGCTCACCACACTCCCACTCAGCCTTGCAGACATACACATACACTCAAGCACTAATGCATGCATGCACACGTCGAAATGTACCAAAGGAACTGGTATAACTTGCTACTTTTATTTGACATTTTGGGGCTTTTCACATCTTCTGCCAGGGGCCATGTTGACTGCAAGACTGAGGCAACTTTTGACAAGCTTCTTCGTCGATCAGATGGCAATGATAGAGCCAATGCAACTTTCTTTATTGCACTCTCATTTCACAATCGAAATATAAATGCTATAAGTGGATATTTTAACTAAAACCCGTTTAGTAAAGCCGTCTCTTGGAGGTATCTGTACATTCTGCTTCTTTACTCTAAAATGCATCTAAGAGGAGGACCTCAAATGATATGCACAAAACTGGGTTTCAGTGAACCTTTTGACACAATATTATTTTGTGGATTTACTTTCGGTTAAGCTTACTCAGTGAAGAGATTTTTACGTAGATCTACACCAAAAGACAACGGCAGGTTCTTGTTGCTCTGACGTAGTCGACTTTACAATTTCATTCGGAATGACGTCGAAGCAGGAATAAGCTACTTAGAATAGTCTAAACTTGAATGTTTTGCAGGAGAAAAAGTGCAGTTCTGAGGATGTCTGTAAAGAAAAATGCTAAAATGGAGTTCGTCCCTAGGTCCCAGAACTGAGGATGGACATTTCGTAACTGCGCTAATATCAATTTCATGCTGACCTCGAGTGAAGGCAGGGAAGTGGAAATCAGCCGTCATCCTTTTGTAAGATCGACTTATCAAGCCCTTTAGCTTTAATTTATGCTCGAAGTTGAAGCCAACAAAAGAAAGTATCTTGTTAGAAAAATATTGGTTGGAAAAATTATTATTATTGTTTCATATTAATATTTGATAATAGTAATAATATAAATATAATAATATGGATATTACTATTATGCTATTATTACATCCTATAAGTGTCATAATATTTTTATAATAGAATATTATTAGTAAAATTATTATTCCTATGGATTTCTTTTAGTGATTCTAAGCCACCTTCGAAAATATCCGATCACAGACTTGCTTGAAATTCATGCAGAGCCTTTCATGTCTTGTTAAGTTTTTGTATATTAAACCTGTCAAAGTGAGCTGGTTTGCTTGAAATTGTCCATGCTTCAGGTAGGGCCAGATGCAGTTGTCTCATCCCGATGGGACCATGGAAGAGGTGCGCTAGAAATCAAGCATCCTGATCACTCGTCACATGTCGTGAAGAGTCGCATGCTCGTCTGAAGATGGCTTTAACGGCTGTATAGGCAATTTGACTCGGTTTACGAGTTGTGGACGCTACTAGGTCTCATGCGATAACAGCTTTCCCGCACGAATTAAAGGCTTTTATGGTTTGTTCCCGAATCTGGTGGTTTTAAGAAAGAAGGTGGCTTCCAGTTTTACGTCAGGCACCAGTGCCTTTGGGGCTAAAAGAGGTGCGACAAGAGGAAAACGCTAAGCGAAAAAGAAGGGAACGGTGAAACTGTACTAACCATAAAAGGGGAAGGTCTATAAGGCAATTTGGAATCGAAGACAAAAGCCCGAAATAAACTTGCCCAAGGTACATTGGGTTTTTTGTGTTGATGAGAGAAAGATATTTATATATTCCATGGTAAACAGAGTAATAAGGCCTCTTATTAAATATCTAATAATAATTAGTAAGCCTGTCTAATAGGTAAAGTCAATGTCGACAAGTGTATTGAAAAATACATTTTTATCTAATCATAAAATAGATCACTGTATATATATATAGTTATTTATTTGTTTATTAATCGTATATCATATAAATATCATAGTATATATACTTTTATTTATTTATTTATATATCACATAGCATATATATGTCACATGAAAGAATTATGAATTTAGAGAGGCGCGTCTTGCCGCAAAACTTACTTCAACTCTGTGGTTATGTGGCGAAGCGCCCACGTCACATGTTCGTTTCGACACTCGTTCGGGAGCTTTGGTGAGAACTAGACAAGGCCGAAACCGCTTTTAAAGATCAAGTCGAGTGTCTTTTGGGCAATAGACTTGCGATCTTTTATACTCATTACTCTCGTCTTTGCATTGCCATGAAGCAGCCATGTCGACTAATGATATTATTCAGGCTTGAGCGATATTATCGAGGGTTGTTTAGTTGGGATGGCATTGAAAAGCGGTGAACTAATTCAAGAGCTGCGAGTTCAGTGCAATTTTATTTTAACTCTCAAATAAACTTGTCGAATTAATTGCCGACAAAGGCTGATTGAATAAGTTCAGCCGTCGGAGAGTCTGCGCTTCTCATTGAAGATCCGTCGGAGAATGCATTTCATTTGATTCGACATATCGACACGCAACCAGCCTGACCCAAGTCTTGTTCAAAATCCGATCTTCATTCGACGAAATATGATTTCAATGAAAAATAAGTTACCAAATATAGCATCATAGACTAATTCGTCAAAGGCCTACTTTTTGTAGCTGAATCACAGAAGAGAGGGTGTATACGAGAGGATCTGCCGAAGCAATATGAGGATGTAATAGCTGCTCAATATTTGTTGGCTCGATCTCGAATTGCACCACACGAGTCTCGCAAGCTCAGCTTTTATGCAAAGTCGCCGCATAGTATTGCAACTGGTACGAACTGTAGTCACCCTATTTCGTCAAATTGACGAAGAATCCGTAATTAATATTTCCCACAATTATATGTAGAGAAAGTACGTTTCCGTTTGCGAAACGGGGTGAATACATCTCAAATATTCGATCTACTGGTAGTGACTAAAGCCTACTTATAAACGAAACATAAGTAGCATAGTCGATGCCCATAGCAAATAAAACTTTGCTTTATCGGCATTCAAACCAAAGAATGTGGCTTGGCAAAATATCTGGCCTTCTTTGGAGCTCACATCTGACCCGTGACTCACGGGAACTCGTAGCAGCCTGGCGTAGTTGTTGACATGTCGAGAGTATACAGTGCACAGTCATGGTTTGAGTCCCGCCGGGGGTGCCGAGGAGGCAAGTTGAGGTGAAGTCGAAGCTGATGTCCACCTCGGCCTGAATAAGGAAGCTTTCTGGCCCACAAAACTGGCTCATCTTCAATGGAAATGTGGGGCCTACTTAAATGATTGTGTGAAAATTCAACTGCCAGTCCTTCATCCTCTTTCCAGAATATACATTTCCTAAATATGATCAAGTGATAGTCTCGAGAACCTACTTATTATAGGAGAAAAGTAGTATCTTTCATTTCGTTCAGAAGGACGTGTGGATGTCAATCATATACTGACTTTACCAAACATTTTGCCGACATGACTGATGAGTTGTGGAAAGAAGTCTGAGCACAGTCTTGCCACTTCATTTGTTGTTGGTTGTAAAGCCCGTTTACGGAAATGTGTATGTCCTGAGGATACCTTTTAGGACAGAATACTCCGAAGCTCATCTCCGCTTAACCGGATCCGTGGCTCTGCTTCATAAAAGTCCAGAGTCGCAAATGCAAGGCTCTCCTCATTTGATTTCTGAAGTGGCAAATTTGCAAGTCACCTCCATCGTTCTTTTCAATCTGGAATAAATGTACCGCAACAGGAATCGACTAACGTCTCTTTTTCAGAGACAGTTTCAGTTTACATTTTCACAATGACTTAATTGCATTCACATTCGTTGAGCGTTCTTATTTTCTTGCTTCTCCCGTTCCACAAGACGCCGAGCAAAATAGCGTTTCATGAGACATTTTACAGCTTGTCCTGAGCTCGATCCAGTCGTCAGACTTGCCAACATGTGCTCCATAACCTGCTCAGCACAAGCCGACACAGGCTCAGATGGAGAGACAGTTAGTTGCGATGACATTCGGTCGTAAACACGTCCAGCTATTCATCCTCATCCTCGCTTACGCATGCTGCTCCCTTCGGCTGGAACAGTCACCCGTTCGGACATGGAACTCACCTGCGCATCGGCCAATCAGAAAGGAGATCTGGGACCTGTTGGTTTAGCCGATAGGGACCGCAGTTGCGAGGACACGAGAACCCGTCCTGTACGAAATGAAGAAGTTGAGA